AATGTATTTCAATTATAATTGATCAGAGAATCAAGAATATTTTCTTTGTTCTTTTTGTGAGAGTATATATAAACGTAAATATATTTCTTGGTTCTGAAATCTTGTCATTAGCCATCAGTAAAAAGTTAAACAATTCAAGTGTATTATACATATATTTGTGTACATATTCAAAAGTTTAATTTACTTCCAAAATGTAATGATTTTTACATTATTTCGGAATTTGTTGGACATACATTCATTTAAGTTAATATAATTTATTTTATTTATATTTTATAGTTAGAATTCAATGTAAGATTTATGTTCAATAATAAATCTGTTTAAAGTATTACATTATTCATCTAACTACAGTTTGCAAAATAAATGATTTTATTTTTATAATTAATTTCATATATATATTATTATTAATAAATATACAACTATATTAAAAATTTTATTTCAATATGTATATATTTTTTTAAAAAAAAAAATATTTTACTTAAAATTTTAAAATTATAAATTAAAATTCAATACACTATGCATATATTTGATAGTTATTTTTTTAAAATAGAATATTTTATTTATTAAAAAATCATATAATTATTATAATAATAACTTCTTTATTATTGTATATAATTTGTAAATATCATCTTATTATATATTATATATTTTCAATCAAAATTTTATCTTTACATCAAAATTTATATACTAAAAAATAAACAAGTTATTAAAAATTTTATTTTAAGTTTTAAATTATAAATTTCATAAATTACGAAATTTATCAAGGATATAATTCTAAAAAAAAAAATTAAAAAGATGATATATTGATGTAAAAAGTAAAATGTAAGAGAAATAAATATTAAATAAAAATGACCTAGAATGATTATTGCCAAATACAAAGGAATTAGAGAGTTTTGGATCAAAATTGGATTATAGAAAAAACATTCAAAAGACTACAAATGACATTAGTCTTGCCTCCATATATACAAGCTACAAATATAAATGTGAGGACTTGGATATAGTCTTGCTTCAATATATATAAACCACAAATATAAATATAAGAACCGCAAGGCTTATAGCCTAACATTTTATTTTTTAGCTTAATATCAAGAACACAAATTGGAAGAAGATACATAAACTTATAGAATCTATATCAAAAAGAAAGTGACAAAATAGAAGAAAGTATGTATATTCAAAGAAGAACTAGAATGGCTATTGCCAAAGACTAGAAAACATAAGACTCTTAAAATTAGACTAAAAGCAAGAAAAGAATTGACAAGAGTGAGGAAGGCCTCACTCTTGCCTCTATATACTACTTAACTAAGAACTAGGTGGCGACATGCTATGAAACCTCTAATACACATCCAACTTGCAAGACACATGTCTAATTTGCAAGGCAAGTTTCTTAGGTGTGCGCCATATGTCCAATTTGTACTATAAGTGGTCAACATGTCGACATGTAGCCTTCTTGTTGGCCAAGTTTTCAACCTACCAATCACCTATAGACATGTATAAAGACAAAACATCGTTTGTGAAGCTTCTAAGAAGCTTTCCATATGATATTATCATATTTATCTATTTTGACTTACTTCTACCTATTCTTATTATCTAAATAATTATCAAGATAAATATGTATATCTATGATATTATCCCCCCTTTTAGAGACAAGTTTCATGAGAAGCGATGATTATATGTTGATGAAGTTTAAGATGCACCAAATTATATTTGTCACATACTTTGATCTTTGTTTCCTTTGAGGGTAGTTGATAGGTCCCTTCAACTATTGATAATGTCCCATTCTAGTGCAAAAAGACCATCTTGATATTTGATCATTATTAAGGCCTTCATAACTTCTTTCAAACAAAATATTAGTAATACCATCAAGAGTGGTTTTTACCTCCAAGAGTATCACTAAACATCAGAAGTTCTTTCCAAGGTCAAGGTACCAAACTTATTATATCTTGCCATCTATTTGAAGAAGAACATGTCATTCTTGAGGATCTTCATCTCGATTTTGCCATCTCGAAGGTTGTGATAGTCGCAATATCTTATCTGGTAGCTCAACAAATAATAGCAAAGAATTTCTTGAATCTTCATCTTGGTTTTGATAGATGTCATTGATAAAAAGCTTTAATTTTGGCTTATGTATTTGCTAGATTCCTAGATGGCTCTCATGTGCATTCATTAATGTCATATCCATGCAAATGTACCAGATATTCTAACTTATTTTGGCACTACCTTGAATCTAAGACTTCTTCTACCTCAAATTCTTTATTATTGTCTACTTGTATAGGACGTGGTTGCATTTGTCTCTTTACTTGTATATCCATTGTCTTGTATGGCTCAAATAAAGATACATGGAATATAAAATGGATTTTCATAGACTCTGGTAGCTGTAATTGATAAGCAACTAGATTGATCAGTTCACAAATGGAAAATGGTCCAAGCCTATCATAATCCCTAACTTTGTAAAAATTTATAGTGTCATTATAAACTTAGGTCCTTCAATTCTAATACTTAAATAAATAATATCAAGTTTTCTTTCAAATCTCCTTGTTCAATCAACAAAAAAATCTCAAGTTTGCCAAAGAAACAAGATTTTTGCCTCAAGGTTTGGTTCCAACCTTGATTCACAATTGGTCTTCTTTAGGTATCAATTTAAGGTTTTTTTAGAAAATTTTGTTGCAAACTACTCTTTACTTTTATTTAAAGATACTTTTAATGTTATTTTTTTAATCTTTTTTATTTTGTCTTATTTATGGTCTTATAAAGTAAATAGAATCTATTTTTATTAAAAAATAGTATTAGCATTAATTTATTTTTTATTACCTTCCTAAATTTAATTTATATTTTTAAAGTATAATGTTATTATATTTTTAAATAAATTCTTCTATAATTTAATCCTTCATTTTTTTCTTCTATTCAATAATTAAGTTATACTATGATAATATTAAGAAGTTGTACAATTAAAAGAAGCAAGTAAAATAAACTAACTTTAAAAAGTAAATATTAAAGGTCATGCTACCACAAGCTTAAAGAAGTCATAGATTATTATTATAAATTAAATCGATCAAGCTTTACAAAGGTTTTTCAAAAATTGATCAGATATTTAGATTTTTACAGAAAAATTAAACAACTATTAAAACTTGTCTTACAAATATCCCACATTTGGAAAGTTGTGTTAAAAACAACCTAAAATTTGATGCTTAGAATAAAGCTTCAATAAAATTGTCTTTTTAGCTAATATACATAGAAGAAAGATTAAGGCCAACTTATTGGCACCTTTCTTATATTCCAATGTAAATTCAAGATTTTTTAGTTTCTTTGTAATTGGCAATAGCTAATTTACTTTCTTTTTTATTTTATATCTATTTTTTATTTTTTTAATTAATTTCTTACATTGACACAAGCATGTAGTTTCTTCTAAATGTTTTGTCATGGTCAATGTCTTTAGCAATTTTTTTATTTTAAGGATTTTACAATTGCATATTAACAATAGATAATATAATATTATAGCATCATAATTCTAATTATAATTATTAAGGTTGTAGTTCTGGAAAAGTATATAAAATTACAAGCAATAAGACATTAAAACAAAGTTAGTCAAAGAAAAAATATATATATATTACTATGAACAATCTTATTGTCAAAAACTTCACATTTTGATTTTTTAAAAAGAATCAATATTATGTTTTGTACTTAGTATTTGAAGTGATTTTTTGAATTAGAAATCAAATGTACTCAAATCACTAAAGAAGTGGATGTATTATAGTGAGAATTTTAAAATGTTAATAATCAAGAAGCAATGGATTGCAACTATAAAAAATCATAAATACCAAAAATAAAGAAAATACAACTAAAGAAGCAACAAACAACCATATGCATATTTAATATAGATGTAATCTAAAAAAAATTAATGTTATATAATAAAAACATTAAAAAAATCATTTGAACAAGTTTGAATGGTATAAAAAATAAATAAATTTAACTTTTAAAAAAAAAAAACAACTTTGGATTTTATAAATATTATATCAAGTCCCTCTCATATGCCTACTTTCTCTACCTTCAACAATCATACCATCTTCAAACTTTTCCTTCATCTTTGTCTGTCGATGTAGTTACAAGTACTTTCAATTTCTATATGTGGTCTTAGATTCCTCTTTGTTGCTTGAGTCATTGCTTTTATTCTAGTGGGTTCTAATGATCTTTTCTTCTTTTGAAACACATTGATTTCTAAATTTGTAACCATGGGTAATTGTTTGACAAGGTTGAATCTAAAGTTTATGTCAATAGATATTGTAAGCAATTTTGTTGTCCAATTTATTTCATATTATCTATAGACTCAAACCCTAAATTTATAATAGACTTTGAATAATTGATATGTCCATCACTACTTTGGTATAAACTTTGCACAAGGACTTTGCAAATGTTTATTTATTTATTTATTTATATTTTATTTTGTGAATGATTGTGTACAAATTGCCAAAAGGATGTCTATGAAATAGATATTTTGTGATTAACAAATAGAATTATGTAGGAACTACAAATTCCCCCTTCCAAATCTTAGATGGTTATTGGTAGATTGAAAAGCATTCTTACTTGGAATTTATATGTTTTCTCTCAAAATTTATATAGTTAATATATATATATATATATATATATATATATATATATGAGAATTTTAATATTGATAGCAACAATGGTTTTTAACTAAATATTTGTGCATCAAGAAAAGGACTTAAGTATATCCATTTTAAAGAATTTATTTTCTCCTTTTTATTTCTTTTTTTCTAATCAAGAGTCGTTACTATTCTAACCATTCAACTTTTGGAAAAATCCAAAGTATTAACTTCTCTCATCTTACATGGAACAAATTTGGCTAAAACAATTCAACAATTGCATTGACATCTTGTTGAGCTTTATGACATGGTCATTGTGCACACTTTTTATATTACAATAATGTATATTAAATTTCAAAATACACTTACAGATATGCATTATTTTATATTATTCACAAATAAAAGTTCAAAAAAAATAGCAAGTAATTGCTTATCAAGTTCTCAATCATTATCAAAGTTCTTTTTGGAACACTTTATCAATCTCTTCAGTTAACCAATTGAAAAAGACACTTGTCAAAAAGTTGGGCTTAGAGAGGGGTGGAGCAAGAACATGATTATCCAACGTGTAATGAATGTATCTAAGCGAGAAAATAATCTGTGATCTGAGAGTCCCTTCATACCAATAGATTACATTCTATGTGCATGAAAGACCTCTACACTTCACTCTGGGCAGCACGACTTAAGATTGTGGACAAATTGCAGCAGAAACTGAGAAGCCACCTGAGAGCTCCCAATTTGCCTTTCTGCCTATACAGATTATTATCTATGTTTCTGGCCAGGGACCGTGCAAACCCCGTTTCTGTAGTGCAAATGTTCTCAAACGATGTCCTTGGGTGCACCTGAGGAGGCCACATTTGCATAGTACTTCACCTATCCGAAGCTGACGCAGTAGGTCCATCTCCTTGTATCCAACCTTTTGAAAGGAGCAGTTCATAAACACGATCAGTCTTCACGGGATCCACTTTAAACATTTGATGTGCATCGGACCTTCGAACTTGCCCCGACTTCAAGCTCTCCAGCATGAGATGTTCCTTCATCCTTAAGTAATGAGCAGGTATGAGCCTGTGCTGTACACATAGATCTTGCTCCTGCAACATTCAAGTCATAAAATGACACTTCAATCCAGAAAAAATTTTAACACATGTACAAGAGAAATGTTTTGAACCTTAAGGTTTGAAGCAATTATAGAAAAAATTGTCGTTGAGTATGCAGTGCCACATGAACAGGCAAACTTGGTGCACAATTAAGCAAAGGTTGATGTACTTACAGTGTGAGAGAGTAAGTCCACACCAGGAAAGCCTCCAAGTTCAAAAGATGCTGAAGTTCTTTTCGAGCTCTTTCCACCAGAACCTGCTAGGAGACTGCTCCCAATTGGCAGAAGATGGGGACCTACTCGTCCTTTCGGGACCTCGCGCGTACTGCCAGGAAATGCAGCTTCCCCTTCCTTCTCCCTACTCAAGTACCGATTAACTCGATGCGTTGAAAATTTGCCATTATACAAGTAAGACGTGCTTTCTCTAGCATTTCTTAGATTCAACTCTGTCTCTTTCTTCATTTCAGAGCCATGTATCTGCGTCTCTGCTAAGGTCTGACCCAAAGCCATTCTGTACTCCTGCACTTGAAAATACAAATTTGTTAACAAAAAGGTATTATTAAGTTGGAAAGCACTTAATCGCAGCGATGATCAGCACAAAATACTTGTTAAAGATTTACTTGAAGACAAGATATCTATTCTGACCTACAACCATTTCGATCGATCTCAAGGCTGGCGTGGGAAATCCCTGATTTGTCAGCTTACGTAAAACTGATTTGACAACCCAACATAATCAAAGCAAGCTGAAACAATATTCATATCACCTTAGTGTATAGAACGTAAAGATATGCGTGGTACAACACCTGCAGTTCCTCAATGCGTTGGCGAAGTTTTCGCTCAGAAATCAGACCGTTAAGCAATGCTTCATGTTCTTCCGCTGAATGGTAGCGCATGAAGACTCGGCTGCGATTGTATAATTCTCTTTCTTCTTTACTCCGCTTCCTATCTAGGACCTGCTGTCGCTTGATGTTCAAGAGACCTCTTTCTAGTATGAAGTTCTTCCTACGTTTCCGTTCGTCAAGTCTGAAAGATGAAGAAAATTGTGTTAGTACGCACACGCACTGAGAATGAAACGAGGTAAAAGCCATTTTCACTGAACACGATTATGAAAACTTGAGCAAGTGCTACAACTGGTGTTCGTTAGGAATATGCTTTCCAATGACTACTAACGCTTTATGTTTGTGTCGCTTCGAGAGGAGTGAATTCAAGACAAGCCAATTTTATAAATCCTACCAATAATCCGAAAGCAAGCCAAACCAATACACATTTTACCTCCCCTCTACACCACGTCACATAATTTGAGCGAGACTGCACTAATTGTATAGTTGACAGCACATCTAAAGATTCCTTACCGTGAGATATAAATATGTAACATCCGAAGTTTCAACTCCCGATCAGTTTCATGGTCATTATCCTTAAACTCCATATCGGCCAGTTGATGTTCGGCTTCATTGTCGTACTCTGGCTCAAACTCTTGCCGTTTAGCATGATACCCCGTCTGATCCGTACTAGTAATGCCTCCCTTATTATCCTCAGCTAGAGGTTTAGGCTTCTTGCCACCAAGAGTACGATTACTTTGAGCTCCATCTGTCAGCGTTAAAATCGGTGGGTCAGATATGCACGTTGTAGTGCCATTACCAAGTTTCTTCCACCACAAGAGTGCACCTCCCGGTGTCTACCATTAAGCGTGTCTACAATATACAAGAAGAAAGGTTTCTTCTCACATGCGGCTTACATTGTGAACTTGCAAATTTCACCATGTTAAGGAAAGCGTACCTTCTGCTGCTGCACCAGCTGCAGTGTTATCTGGTGATTCTTTGACATGAACCACACCTTGTGTACCTCCTGCTGTCTTTTGACACTTTGAACCTGGTCCACCAGAAGGACCGCTTGAATCAATAGCTTGACTTCCACCAGCTCTACCATCCCCATCATCTCCCTCACTTCCAGGAGTTGAAAGCAGTGGCTTGATATCTAAAGTCCCTGCATGAGATAAATAAGTTTCTTTCATAGCAAATACAGATGCTTGCAATCAAAGACAGATAGCAACAACAAATAGAATAGTACGTAGCTCCAAAATCACATCTTTGAATAGACTTGGAAAGAGTAAGCTGGGAGCACAGGTGATGAGTTAAAATGACTGAACAAAGAAGCACAATCTCATCAAAATACTATTCGAATTACTTCACAAGGCAGGGTTGCACCTGTTGACATGCTGGACGGGGATCTACCTTCGAAACCGTCTTCCATCCTTGAAACCACCCAGCCAAGTCCAAGTCAGCACATAGCCTAGCCCATAACATATACACCTGAATAAAATCTGTGCACGCAAGGTGCCGACACGACCAGAGTTGCATTAAGAAAGACATCCCAGTTCATTCTAAGCATGTAGGGAGGAGATCTTACTTGATTCTTGACGGAGAATTGGGAGGCTCCTGTTTAACTAATCGTAGCACACCACCATCTGTTAAAATCAAACATCCAACCTTCAATTGGAGACTCAATAATGGCTACCACATAGTTTCATGATTGACTCGCAGAATGTTATGAAGCACTGACGGACTAAAGTAAATTACTACATGGATTAACATGTACGACTTGCCAAACCTCAAGACTAGTTCAAAATAGGATGCTTACAAGAACAGTAAGGTATAAGCTTGATATAAAACAATATGCAAGCGTGTAGTAACTCAATTACAACACAACGGATTATGACATACTGCATTTTCCTATGCTCAACAGAACGTTTAGAACAGCAGAAGGTGGTTTTGAAGTGTTGGTTCTGAAGTACCTTTCTTGCCTTCTTGATGTGAGCGAGCCATGGCTAAGAGATCTGCCTTTGATTTCCCTATAACGTGGGACATATCCTGCACCCACCGTCACATTCCAAACATTTAGACAGCGTCAAAGGAAACTCTCAAGTCGCACATATTGATCGGAATATTGCAAAATAGGATTGCATAACGATATTAAGAAGAGTACGTCAGCATCAGTTGCTCAAAACCTAAAGATTCTTCAGCTTTTGTCACAATTTACAATGGTACTATAAGTTTGGACTTTCAAAACATTTTTTAAGTTTGCTTTAAATGAAACTAAGAGTCTTAATGTTCCTGAGACATCCGCAAAGTTGAATGTTGAAAATTCGTTTTCTGTATTTTCCAAGTCAGATAATAAGTTCAAAATTTAGAAATCCACCAAGAATACATGTTCCGTCTGTGGCGTTTAAAATATTTGTATGATTGGGTAAAATTGTGCAATCCATAAGATGGTAAAAAACAAGATAGTTCTACGTTTTTCAAATTGTTTATACAAGTGTACGTATTCTATTTCTTTACAATAAAATATAGTAAGCTTTTCTACGAAGAGAATGAAGGAACCCAGTTCAGCTTATTTGTCCTGCTACCTCTACAGAAATGTATCAATCCCAAAAAAAAAAAAAAAAAAAAAAAAAAAACAACAACAACAAAAACAAACAAACAAAAAAATGTCTACCACTTACTTCATGTGACCACAGAAACCATCAAGTATTTTCCAAACAATCGGCAACTAGCTAGAGGGAACTTTATGTCTTGAATAACCAAATGCGGAGGCCTGCTCAGACTAGGATAGACAGTAACAATTCCGGCACTCCATACAGTGTTCTAATAGAACAATTTCCAATACAACCGAAGGAAAACATCATTAAAATAGATGACATAGCACAAGATGGACTTACGGGTAACGGAGAACAGATGGAATTCATGTACGTTGTCATATAATGACCAAAACACTGAGTCTTAGTCTTTGTTCCCACGTGCTCTGAAGCTTCCCCCCAATTTCCAAGCCCGTACATCTCAACTCCCTGCACACGAGAACAATATCAGGCAATATTCCAAGGCATGCAAAGATCGAGGCAAGTTGTTGTCTCTATGAGAGCACTGAGTACTCCCTCAAATTGAGAAAGAAAATGCACGCTGAGAACAAACCATACCTCCAAAAGCAAAATTTCTTCATCGGCGTTCCATTCAGGGTGGATGAGGGGAAACGATAGATTATCCTGCAAACACCCCCACGAGAGAGAAAAGTTTCAGCCCGACTACACGCAAAAGCAATATGACATAAGAAGCTCCAGCTCCTTGCCTACATCCGTCTCTGGCAGAGCAATTTCTAGTAAATAAGTTGCAGCAAACCGAACGCTGCTAGCAAAATTGCAGAATGTGGCTACATTAATACAATTTCGAGTCTGTGTGCATGGAGGAATTACAATGACTCGATAGGAATGATTGGATTTGTGAGGTGTGATTTCCACACCAACAGAGAAGCACTCTACGCAAAGATCGAAATCAGGGCACTTATTGCACTTAATTCGAATGGTTCCTGAAATGTCTTTAATGCAGTAATTGCAGTGATAGAGAGCTTTTTTTGCTTCTCCCGCACCTGCAGTCCAGAAACAAGCCCCTCTGTAATAGATGAAAATTTCCACAACATAAATCAGCATGTAAAATTCGGTCATTACTTTGTCACAGAGTCATTACCTACGCGAAAAAAAAACAAAACAATACACCACAAACAGAAGAAAACTACGTAGTTACTCAAGAAATAGCATACATGTCAAATCAAGCACAATGTTTCTACTCAACATCGAAGCTCACATACATTTTCAGATCCTGAACTGCAGACGTAATTGACAAATTTTTCAAAAATCAATGATTTACCACGACAGTAATTCAAAAATATCGACCACTTCTCTTTAGTGTAAGATACTCATCCGTTAATAATGTGCTCGCTAGCTATCCATCAAGGAACGCCACAACACAATGACAAAACACATATGTTTGCGAATAACCTTTGCAAACTCCAAATTGAATCAGTTCAATGGGCACAATAACGTCCAATTCAACGCACTAACAGCAGAAGCAAACATTGAAATCATATTGAGATTCAAAATGAACTCAAACTTCGAAAGAGTCCACCAGTAACACGATTCCTCACCTGCTGCTGAAGGCTCAGGAACATCTCCTCCAACCGCCACACGCCTCCGCTTAGACCTGAAACGAAACTAAATAAAAACCAGCTCAACATCTTCACCATCACACTGACGCAAAACCCCAATGCGACCAAATATTTCCACCGTAACCAGAAGAAATACAGCGGGGAAAAAAATGGCCCGCGTGACATACCTGTGACCAAACCAGGCCGTGTCGTCGTCTTGTGTACTATGCACTCCTCGCGATCGGCCCATGACGAAACCTGCACCAACGGAGCTACTACAACTGATTGCAACGACGAGCAAACCCTCCCTCGACGCTCAAAGCGAACCCCCGAAACTCGAGCACCCGCTGACATGGCTATCCTGCGCGGGAATGATACCCGCCAAAGCCCGCGCAGACCCCTGCGCATACGGAACATTCCGTCTAATTGGAAATGTCTTGTATTCGTATCTAGGAGTTATCGTATCCATTGTGAGAGTATATACGGTACTGTCACCTACGCCTCCGAGTGAGGTTCTAGGAAGTTCTCCCAAATTAGGAAGTATATTCAACAGTTGCTACGGTAGATGTACGTAGTGGTATACCTCTTGTTTGCGTCTTTATTTCTACCGAAATTTTAAGTAATTTGAAGGATTGTATCCTAGCAAATATCAAAACAGAATAATCGTGTTTTAAGAAAAAAAAAATCCAAGGTATTTTAAATATGTATGGTTAATCGTATTTTAGGTTATAAGTCTTTGAATTTAAAATATTTAGGAGGATTGTAAATTGCTCTTTTGAACATAAAATAAAGTGTAGTACTCAATGCTTTAGCTTTAGATTTTTTTGTGCATGGTTTTTCAAAGTTTTATTTTAATTTAATAAAATTTATGAGTTTGATAAACATACAAGATAAATAACAAATGAAATGCATAAATATTTGTTTTAGTGTTTTTTCAATTAAGCCTACAATTCTAAAATGGAAGTATTTTCAAGTATTGCTAATTGCAAATATCATAATCTTTAGATTTATATCATTGGTTTGACAAAACAATAAATCTCTATAGCACTACTACTAATTAAAATAATTCACGAGTTATGAAGAGTTTCATTCTAATTTTCAATAGTTTTAATCATCCATGCTTTAAATGAATACCTAAATAGAAATTAAAAATTAAAATATAAATTATAATCATGATTTTGTATACTAAAAAAATATTTTAAAAAAAAACAAAATATGCTTATATAATATATTGGAATTACAAATAAGATATATGTGTATACATACATTATATGTTGAAAATACATATTTTTTGATTTTAATAAAAAACATAAAAATAACAAATTTTTATACATTACTATTTTTAATATTTGTATTTTTTAAGAAATAAAATGTAACATTTTTAAAATATAATTTATTTGTAGTCTTTACTGTTAACTACATAAAATACATTTAGTGTATTTAAATGTTTAGAAAATGTATTCTAGGAATAAACATATATCTATATATATATATATATATATATCTATATATATATATATACATATATACACAAATTTTAAATATTATGTTGTTGTTAGAAAGAACAACATCTATTTTATTGTTCAAATTAACTTTAACCTAAAAGAACAATATTATGGTATAATTTCATAAGATGGTGGTTTTAATTTTAATTTTAATTTTAAATTTACTATAATTTGAAATATTAATCTTTCTTTCAGCTTAATCCAATCCAATTTTTTGTTCGTATTAGTCATTATTATTTATGTATAAAAAATCAAAAATTTATTTTGTTCTATTTTTACTACTTTTTATTAGAAAAAGCTATCAACTTTATATTATTAAAGATATGTAATTTTGATATTACAGATTGGAATTTGTGTACTCATCAAAGTATGGCTATATAAATTTATATTTATATATTTGGAGTGGATTGTTATTCCATCCACATTGAATTACAAAAAATGTAAATATTTGAATGATAGTTAATTCAAACAGTTGTACTTCACATGAGTTGCTTGACCTATTACAATTTATACACCTAAACAAAATAGTAAAAAACATGCACAACATAATTTACTTTTTTTCCAATTCTCTTTGACTTATATTATCAATTATATGCTAACAAAAAATGGAAACCAAAGTTGATGAAATCACTCAATACTTAAATAAGTATGTTAAATAGACCAAAGTTTTTACTGAATTGACCCATTTATCCTAGCCATCATAAAATGAAATGAAAAAAATAAAATAAATTCTAGATTCATTTCTCCATTATTGGCACTACACTCAATAAAAACCAACCACAATCATCATGATTACCATATTCTTCATCAAGGGTGGGTCTATCTAACATTTGCCTATTATAACCTCCATGTATTAAAAACAATATTTAATGTTAATCTATAATCTTATTCTAAAATAGCTGTTGATAAAAACATGGTTAGAACTAGTCCAAGAATAATTCATTATTTACCAGCAGTCATGCACACTAATAAACCAAAACATATTTATTTAAAAAATAAAAATAACCTCTAGAAAGAAAGAAAAAGAGGAAAAAGTGAAAAGGGAAAGAAAAAAGTAAAATGAAAAGAAAAAGAAATAAAAAATTAGGAAACTAAAAGTGCAGCTCTCATTTCACATCCACGCCATTCGAAGTTCATCCAAAACACCCAAAGTCATCCAATAACGGATGTTGATTAAGACCACACAGCCCACCCGTTGATGGCTCCCTGCTTAATGGAATCCTGGGGCTGCCAATCCCGCGACACTCGCGCCGGTTTGAAAACGACGACGCAAAGTTTTTGAATCGCATTTGCCTCCGAAGAGAACAAAACAAAACCAACTGTGCAATTAAACAAAAGGAAACAAGGAAAACAAAATTCGACGCAGTTGATGCCATTGCGACCGGAACGTCGCTATGTATGTAGCTCGAGCGGAGTGGGGGCCGTTTCTGTGGCTGAGAGTGAAAGGATGAGAAATCATGGCTCCAGTTGCACGAAATGCTTGAAGAAACTCCAGTGAATGTTTTCTAACCATAGCGTCGGATTCTGGTCCGCTAAAATTTAGCCAATCGCAATCTTCATTGCTGCATGGTTGCGTTGTCCGTCACTCATTGTGTGGTCCACAAGGACTGTGATTCTTTCGATTCATTCTATTCGCTTTTGTACGCTTCCTTTGCGGTTGCGACCAGGCAGTGTTCATGTGTTCTTTCGTTGTGTCATTGGGATGGAGAGGTTAAGACTTGTGTGAGGTTTTCGGCGGTTGTCGTGGGGAGGAGAGGGGGATGAGGACGACGATTAGCGGATCGTCGCGAGTTGCTGTGGAAGGTGACTGTCTCTGTGCGTGAGGGGCGTTGATCCAAACCTAGTCACGAATATGGTGGAGTCCTAGCCCGTTTTGGTTGTGTACATGTGCCGGGATGAGACGTGTATGTCTTCGGGGAAAGTTGGAGTGAGTTTCTTGTTTCCATGAGGAGCGTTGAAATTTGAGAGTAGCTATGACGAGGGGGTTCGGGAGGAGCAGAGATGGTGGGAGTGCTCGAGAGTAACGGCAATAGGCAGCCCGCGACGCCCTCTGCACGCGTTCCGTTGTCCGTTTTCAGTCAATCGTCCTCACTTATGTCTGATCGAGCAGCCCAGGCCATGGAGAAAGCGCTTCGAAATTTAGCGATGCCGCACAGGTGTGTGCCGCGCTTCACTATCTCCTTGATCGGGTTGTTGCGTTTTATTTTTCCTTTTTCTTTTCTCTTCTATCCCCTGTTTACTGTCATTAGGGTAGTCATTGTTGATCAAGTTGTGTTTATTGATTTGGAGCCTTGTCGTACGCCATGGCGATAGAAGGGCGAATGCTTGTGCGGAAGCATGCAAAGGAGACAGTGAGAATGTGCTGTTGCTTCTTGTTTATTGATCACGTTAATTGGCTAAGAAGGATAGTGCTTACATCACATCGCAAAACTGCGGTTGATTTTCTTTGGCAAGTAGTAAGACCGTCACACCTAGAGCCACAATTTGTGTATCCTTAGCCTGTAAAGTTCTTAGCAGGCAAGATCAACCTGATGCAGTTGGCTGTCGAGTACTATAATTTGGACCATTACTTTTAAATCATTTTTTTCAGCAATACTCTAGTCTTAGGAACTTCAATAGTTATATGCACGAATTTCTCACAGACGCAAGCTTTTCCACACGAACAACTCTGCACCCACTTTTGAATGTTTCAGTGCATTAGACTAATTCATTCTTTCTCGTCGCAGGGAGGTAAATGCTACTAACAATAAAGATGAAGATGGCTACAAGGTTTGAATAGGATTTTTTTTTTTTTTTTTTTTTTGTAGGATGCATTGGGTCCGTACATAAACAATGTTCCCAATGTCTGATTTAATGAGAATGTGGTTTGTTCAACTTCTACCTAGTGCCGACGTTGTCTTGTACATTTGGACAGAAGTCGCTGTCTCTTGAATTTAGAAAATCTGTTTATGTTCGCAATATTTTGGTTGGAGGTTTATTGCTTATGAGTTGGAAGTGTGATCTTGTCCGACAATGATTTCTCTTGTCTCACTGGAGGCATGATTGGTCCTTCTGTGTATTTGAGCTGTTTCATCCCATGTTAAATTCTAAATCTGAATTGTTTACAGGATCTCCTAGAGCACCCGGAGATAGATCGACGAAGTTTTGTCAAAAGAGATGCTGCAGATCTTTTCAACAGTTTAGCTTCTGCGAATGACAAGGACCGAAAATTAACCACGGGTGAAATGTCTCTGCCCCGTGCATTTTACTCTCGCGTGGACGTTCAAGATTCTGCATACTCAGCAACCGAACTAAGTGGTAGTGAGGATTCGGACATTACCCATAGAAGAAACTTGTCTACGACTGTACCTGGGCCTTTACTGTTAGATAGATCGGTATTCTCTGATTCAGAGACTGATAAAGACAGCTCCTTGTTTCTGGGTACTGCGCCAGAGGACCTTGATCTTGTTGAAAATGCGATGCTCCGGATAATTCGAGAAGATACGCGCGCATTCTCGAAGCAACGTGATGAGGATGCTACGAAGCCGAAGGAGCTGAGTGAGTGCTTGGAAAAAAGTGAAGGATTTCGATCGACAGCTGATTCCGTGGACTTCCAGCTTTTGTCCAGGTTGCTTGAACAGGCAAGTAAACTTACAATGTTTACAGTAAACACGTTGTGTTCTAAATATCAACCCATTTCATTCTTTGCTGTGCTTGAGCTCATGATTCCTGCACACATATTTCCATCCCCGAATCTGTGTTATCCTGCATCTGATGATTTTGCCGTCAGTTTTACAGGTCCAGGCTTTAAGGGAACAGAAGCACCAGCCCAAGCAGGTAGGTAGAATTGCAAGGTCATCATCACGTGGTGCCAGAAGCATGTGGGATATCAGCAAAAGTGGCAAATCGAAGAGATTTAAGAACGACGACATGAAAAAGGCGATAGAGGCTGCAACACAAGCTGCAAAATCAGCTGCTGAGGCTGCTATAACCACCGCTACGCTGGTTACTCAAAATTCGGATGCTGTGAACAAGCTTCTTCAAATCATGCACCTTTCCTCTAAGACGTCAGATTCAGAGCCCGAAGTGGAAGATACGCGGGTGGATTCCGAGTCAGAGGACATTGAGGAGTCGAGCGACTCAGATGAAACGAAGGACATTGCCAAGAAAATTGTCTCACAAAATCGATACACCCACGTGGTTTTAGGGATAATGCTCGTGTCGTCATTCGTGTGGAGGTACATAGTTGTCAAAGTTGTGAAGAATGTGAAGAGTAAGGTGACGGATCCATGGGGCTACATAGGAGGAATGCTGCCTGATGGGTTCAGGGGCCCTGATAAGGAGGCGGAGAAATCAGAAGAAAGCTCTAGCGGTCCCAGCATGCCACAGAAGGCTATTCACTTTCTTCACGGAGATCGAGAAAAAGAGAAAGAAGCATCGGCTTCTGATGACAAAGACAAACAGACGCTCACGCTCGGAAACATCTTGCCGATCAAGCCAAAGAATATCCAGTAATTGTCAAGTTGATGAGGGTTCCGGGTTCATCTAGAGTAAACCTCCTAGCAGAGCAATCATCGTTGAGTTGTAACATACATTTTTCTATGAAATGAACATCCCCAGATCCTACCTCTGAGTTCTAACGACCTCTAATTGCACTGACGCTGAAAGGTTCTACGGCTGGGTTTGTAACTACCTTCTTTTCCTGTTGTAATCTGATCTGGAGGATCTGATATGAGAGCACCGTGATACTTATCTTTGACAACTTGCAATCTAATAATCTGCACCTGGAATCATCGAGTGCTCTCATTTTTGTCAAGTTGGAAAAAATTCAGTGGTTTTATTCAAATCGAATGAGATGTGTTACATGACATGCCTATTCATTCAAATTGGATGATACATTGAATATAACACAACTCTTACAGACTTGATACGGTAGGTAAAGGAATATCTTCAAACTAGTTGCATCAAGAAATAAGATCTAAAATTGTGATTAGAAAGTGTGATCATGTAAATTAGAAATAATGTATACACATCAAGGATCTAAACGCAGATCACCAAAATCAACTAAATTAAATGCATGAAGAATGAAAAATCATAATAGTATAAAATTACATGGTATAATCAAAATACTGGTGAAAACAAAGAGGATTCTAGATCGTATCTATTAATTATTAATTAAGTTCTAGAAATAAATAATATATATATATATATATATATATATATATATATATAAATATAACTAATAAACTAATACAAAATAATGAATAAAAACGTCCTCTACATATATGTATATATATAAATATATAAATATTCTTGTATCTACGTGTTCCACAAACTCTTGTAAGTTTGAAATCAAACAAATAAATAAACAAAAGCAAGATGCAGTCATTGTATTCATCTCACAATGTAAAATGTCGCGCGATTTCTTCACATAGCTTCGAATTTCTCACCATTGATGTCCAGATTGGCACAAGTGGTGTAAGCCCGTTGCCCACCATCGATTCCGACTTTGCTTACGTCTTCTACAGGTCTTGTCGATCGGTCTTCGCCGATCACCACCTTACTGCCACTGAATCTCCCTATGGGCATATCTAACACAATAACGAGATTCGTTTTGAGTTTATTAATTTGAAAGCAAATTTATCACACTATTCAATCCAGATATCAGTGCAATTTGTACACTTTCATGGAGTTTTCTTGCTTGCCGTTTAACGATGGTTTTAGGCTGCAACTGTGTTTTGACGCCAATGACTTGTGGAGGATGGGTTGTCCAAGGAAGTGTCGCGTCTTGAAGTTGAAGGGCAGTTTGCATTTGTTCGATCATGGAAGCTATCAGGCTCTTACTCCCTCCTCGGTACAGGCAAATTATTCGGTTTCTGAGGTTGACGTATATTCCAGTTAGATTTGATGTGTTATCGATACGGATGTTGTGCTTGGACGTCAAAATTTTATGGAGATATTTACCTGTACGGGAAGCAACGTCTACAAGAATATTTAGTTTTAGAAGGATTAAGTGATTTTCTGCAAATGGCTGTTGTTGCAAACGCTGCGATCTAACAATTTCCTGCCCCGCCACTTATTCGCCCCACAAGTCGATGAGATAGTATACGAGTTGCACAATTTACTTCAACAGGTTAATTGATGAGTTGTGGCTACATGAATCAAATTTGCAACTGTTTGCTTTTCGATAGTGTTGGTGGATAACGTTCCGACCGAGGTAAAGAATCTTGGTAACACTGGACTTGTGCGGAGGCATCGACTGGTGACCTAAGTCATGGAATTCATAGTAAGATGTATTTCAAAGAACTCGAAGTGAAATTAGGTGACGCCACTCAATAGACCCTTACCCTGGACTCAATAAGTTTGAAGCATGTGCTGACAAGGACATTATCAACCACTTTTGCCACACCAACAGAAGGGCCGATTGGTTAAGCCAACCGCTTGTCATGAGGCTGACTGAGAAAATCCTGACCGTCCAGCAACAGTATAAATGGGAGCGAGTCATTACTATGGAGCGAGAACAGTTTCACCACTACATCAAACAAAGAAAGGTCTAAGATGGATCCATCATACGAAATGAGAAGAATTATGGAAGTGCGGAAACAATCTTAGAAATATTAAGACACAATTAAATCTCAGTTACCAATGTAGACCGCAGCGCATTTAAGTTCGATCCATTAGGCAACACTCCAGCGTATGATGCCAAAAAACAGCTCTGAATTGAAACATGGAAGGGTACAGAATTCGATTTGCAGCAATGAAAGGAAGCTGGAACAGAAATAGAAACCTCCATAATTTTCATTGGCATTGACTGAAAGATGCCTTACAATCCACGTTCTACACAACTAATAGATACGGACAGGGGTGCCCATGGTAGTCTTCAAGTACAGAACGCGGACCTGCCACAAGAAAAAGTATGAACAGAATACTTAGAGATGTGATCAGCGACGCAAGCTCGAGTAAATACCGAATTAATACAAACTAATACGAATAAAAGGAACAGGTCGGAAATATGATGAAACTATTGAGTTTGTTGCTTACATTCTGCCAGTTCTTCTTCAGCAGGGATACAAGGAAGTTGACACCCATCTGAGTGTTTTGGAAGATCTGCTTCTCCTCCATGTCACAATTTCCAATGGCAACTCCCATGCACAACACCTTCTTCAGCTGGAACTTGACCATGGCCTTGGTCTCCTGGCACTTGGCGTCAAGCGATTCCTGGTGAGACACCAAAGTGGGAAACTTTCCGGCCTTGTTCAAACCAGGTCCCAACAGACGAGGAATCTGCTTAATGACAGACTCGGAGGCCAAGAAAGCGTGGTACTTCTTCGCCAGTTTCTTCACGAGCTTCTTGTTCTTGTTCATTTTCTTCAAGCTCTCGACGTCCATGTATTCCATGCCCATCTTGTTGGCCTGTTACGCAATAATGGGGCGAATAAATAAGAGGTAATCAACCTGCGTAATGTGGCATGCTGACAAAATGCTTCTCAACATGGGTGGCATTAGTTGAGTTAGAGGAAATACCTCCTCAACGTGCTGGGCATCTCCGAGCATGCACACGCGCATCTTAGGGCGAGGAATGTGTGGCAGCTTCACGGAACCACTGAAACGCTTGTCTTTCTGGGGATCATAGTTCTTCAGACCGATCTGAAGCTCCACAGTCTCTGTGAACTTCCTATTCTTCTCCTTAGCGGCAGTGGTAATCTGAGTGATGGCCTCCCTGAGGACATCGCTCTGAAGCTTACTGCAGCCGAGAGCAGCATAACACGACCGTTAAACGTGTAATTCGACTAGTAGGTTGTAGCTACCAATCAAACCCTACTAAAAACCCTAAAACTCCCCATCACCTTTCGATAACCTATCGAAAACAGAAGTGGACATAGATACAAATGTAAATAAATCAGAAATGATAATCTCTTTGAAAACGCAAAAGGTCAAAGAGGATTCCACTCTCCGAGACAACCATATGGTTTACAAACAGGGAGAGAGACAGTGTCACCGTCCTGAATGCGGCTAGACCAACTGCAGAAAGATGATTCAATATTCTACTGTGAGGAGCAACCTATTCAGAGTTGAGCTTCTTCATGGGTCCAAATGAGAGAAAACAAACCTCATGGTTGCAGCAAATTACGCACGAACCAGGGAGTCCTCACGACGGTGTGAAGTTGAAAGAGGTCCAGGCATGTAACCTAGACGAGGTTTTGTACAGAGACGAGATAAACCCCTAAACCTAAGCAAGCGTCGGAACCGAACCTTGGAGGCTTGGACACGGGTTCAGAGCGGCTTGAAGCCCTTGACCGCGCCCTCGAGCGTCGTTGGACTGGTGCCCGAGGAATCTATGCCCGTGGTTCCAAATTCTGAAACCTGCACTTACTTTGCCTTGTTACTTTATGCTGTTCCACATGTTTGTAAAAATTAAAAATTAAGAGAATAATTAATTTATATTTTTTATTAATTTTATATGAAATTAATAAAATTTTATTTTTTATTCAAGTACATTCATAAAACTTAATCATTTCATTAAACAAAATTAATTGGAGTAATTTTTTTTAACCCATCAGCAATTCTACAAGAAGTGGTATTGGTTCAAATAATTGCACAAAAATGTGTAAAATTACTAAAAATTATTTAATTCATCAAAATAAAATAAATAATCAAAATAATATAATTATAAAAGTAGAGACAAATAATTAAATTTGAAAAAGAAGCATACACAATAAAATTCAATAGATGTGTTTTTTTTTTTTTTTTTTTTTTTTTGACATGTAAATGAAGTGAATCCAATACATTAATGGAGTAGAAAAATTGCAACAAACTACTTGATACCTTATACTTAAGAGGAAGTGTCATGATATAACTTGATTAATGAATATAATATATATATATATATATATATATATATATATTATAGAAGATCTTATTTTAAAATATTTTAGCAAATTATCTTAGAAATATAGATAATAGTAAAAAAAATATTAAAACTAAAAGGTGTTAATATTGTCTTTTTACAAAATAGGCTTCTACTTATTTTGTAAGGCTATAAATAAGGCAAACAAAGTAGATTGGAAAGTTAAATGATATAGGTATGTATAGGAGGAAGTTAAGAGTAGATTTTAGAAAATTTTATCTCAAGAAGCCAAGAATTGATACTTGGAGAGGACCAGTTGTCAACTTAGGTTAGAATCAAACCTTCAAGCATAAAACCATGCACCTATGATGACTTCTCAATTCTTTTGTACATCAGAGAGTGGGATTTGAGAGCAAACTTGAGAAGAGATTTTTTGCCATTGGTTTTATGTCAATTGAATCAATATTGAGTTTTTGAGGGATTTTCAAGTAAAAGATGTTCTTAATTGATTTAGATTTTAAGAAATAAAAATATGTTTACAAATTTGAGGATTTCTCAAGTTTTATGGTATTTATATAAGTGAAATTTGAGCAAAGTGTTGGTGTATTAGTTCTAAATATGTGTACAAATTTTGGGGTCAATTAAACAATTAGATTGAAGCATATGAAGGTTTTTATGGGTTGAGGTCTCAAAAATTGGAGTTTGAAGGATAGTGAGTATTTCTAAATCTTCAGCAATTTGTCAATTGGATTGAAGTGAATTATTTTTATATGGATTTTAGACTTGATTTTTGACGTCTAGGTGAAATTTGAGAGCAATTCAATAGTTTACAAAGGAGATATTGCCACTGCAAGTTTAGCATTCAGGTTGGAGTAAGAGGCCACCTAATACCTAATTGGATTATCTTGCATTTCTTTCAATTATTAAGTATGATCAATTTCATCTTTCTTATGCTTGTTCCTAACTAAGAGATTAAAAATTATGAAAATTTTGAATTGATATCAATAGTTTAATCATTAATTATTGAGGTTCTATTTTACTATAGGTTTGTTAAGACTTTATTTAAGAATTAGGATTTATTAGGATTTGGTTTCAAAGTTGGTCTAGGATTTGGTTAAGATTAGGATTTACTTAAGATTTGATTTAATACTTATATAGATTTTTTCTAGGATTTAAGGTTTTATTAGGATTTTATTAGAATTTGAGTTAAGATTTAAGGTTTCATTAGGATTTCATTAGAGTTTGATTTAAGATTTAATTAAGGTTTAGTTAGAGTTTAAATTAAAATTTTACTTAAGATTTTGTGAGCCAAATTTTTGATTCATAATGAATTTTTTTTAAAATTAGAATAAATCAATGGAATTAAGAAGAGAAAATTTTGGATATAGTTAGATAGGATAAATTATCAAAGAAAAGGCTCATTTAAGTATTAAGAGTCAAGTACAATTATAATGGTAGATGAAATGATCATGGTTTAAGTAGAGTTAGTGGTTAGATGGTGTTATATTAATAAAGTAGTAAAGCAAGAGGTAAAAAATAGAAAATATGTTATCTAGATCTTTAAAATTAGAAAATATATTAAAAATAGTAAAAATTGGATATACTATTTTAAAGAAAGAATGAAGTAGGGAATATTTTTGAAAGGACTTCCAACAATCTCTCATAAGGATGTATTAGGAACTTATTAAAAATAAATAAATAAACAAATAAATATAAACTAACAACCTATTTTGTTGGATCAATCTAGGCTATAGAGATTCTAGTTTAAACCATTCCAAACCAAATAAGTTATATAAAAATATAAGAAAGACAAGATCTAGATGTCACCAACATACGCATGTAAGCTAGTAATTATATGTATAAATAGGTAGAAGTAAGTAAAAGTAGGTAAAAGTAAGTTAATTCTATAATATTTGCTATACAAGCTTCATAGAAGCTTCATAAACACTACTTTGGCTTTATAGATGTCTTTAATTGACTTTTTGGATTAAAAACGTGGTCAACAAGTTGGCCATGTGCAACACATGTTATTAGCTTGAAGACCAAGCTAACTATGTGGCCCACATGTAGAAAAACTTACCTTGTAAGTCAAGGCATGTGTCCTACAAATTCAACACATATTGGAGGTCCTAGAGAACATCGCCACGTAGCCTTTAGTTAGATAGTATATATAGAGACAAGAGTGAAGCCTCCTTCACTCTTATCAACTCTTTTCTTGCTTCTAGTCTAGTTTCAAGGGTCTCTAGTTTTCTTGGCTTATGGCAATAGCCATTCCAGTTTCTTTTTTAATATACATATCAAGTTATTTCTATTTTGTCATCTTTCTTTGAGAGAAGTCTCACTTGTTTATTTGTTTTTATCATATTTTTATCCTTAATAGATTGACAAGAGTATAATATAAGAGCTTTGTTTAATCTTGATTAAGAGTGGATTGTCTCTTTTTCTTGATAAGACATAAGCATATTAGAAGTTATAGATTACCCTCTTCTAAATTAATATTTTTCTTAGCATTTTCTTTATTCTCAAGTCCTCTCTTCAATTTTTCTTGAACAATATTAGACATCTTTTTTTTTTTTTTTTTTTTTTTTTTTTTTTTTTTTTTCAAGTATTATCATGGCAAAACTTGCTGAAATGAAGAGTACAATGGCACAAATGCAAGAATAATTGAGGGAGTAAATGCTTGCAATGTATCAACTTAATTTACCACTATAAGAAGCAACAAGATTGATAGAAAGTGAAGATATAGAAATGATTGGAGCTGCTTCAATATCTGTACCAAATCATGTCCCTTTTCTTCTTGTAGAACACCCTTCCAATGTTAGAGAACCAAGAATTGCCCTATTCGAGAAGTTTGATGGCACCAGATCAAAGTTTAGAGGATTTGTCAATTAAGTACAACTTATGATTGAACTTCAAACCCAAAGCTATCCAATTCAAAGATTACAAGTTAGATTCATTGATATGCTTCTTTTAGTTTCAGCATTATCATAGTTTTCATCTTTTCTTGAATGACGAGATCCAATATTGGATAATCTAGAAGCTTTTTTGGTAGAGTTTTAATCCATATATAGAGAACATGATGCAATTCGTGTTGCAACCAATAAGATCTGTATTTTGCGACAAAGTAATCAATCAATAACGTTGTATGCTTCACAATTTTGACAACTTGCAACTGATATCAAGTGGGATGATGCTGCATTTATTAGCCGATTTCTCTACAGATTATAATATGAAGTACAAAAAATTAATACTCAACTTACTTGATCCTCAAACATTGAGTCAAGTAATTGACTTTGCTGTGAAGTGTGACAATCATCTTTTTGAATTTCGATCTGAGAACCATACAAGTGGACCTAAACGTTACTATAATTCAATGGCAACACCAACATCTCTTCAACACATACATTTGGAAGTAGAGGATATGCAAATTGATGCAGTACGTTTCAAACCTCTTACTGAGCAAGAAAAGATTCGTCGTTGTCTGAAAGGATTATGCTTATATTATGGAGAACCTAAACACACTGCTCAACATTGCACAAAGAAGCAATGCAACCATAAAATGAGGAGTACAGAGATTAAAGAAAATAGCATGTCAAAAAACAAATTTGTCTAGCTACAATAGGGACTGTGCAGTTGGAACCTTGTACAACGCCTAGTGAAGGTCCTATCCTCTCCTTACAATCCTCTCTATGTTTTATGATAAATATTATTCTAGGACCTAAACATTACAAAGCCTTTGCCCTGCTAGATTTAGGAGCCTCAACATGTTTTTTAGATGAAGAATTTGCTAAAAGACATAGCACATTTTTAGTGAAGAAAATTAAACCTCTTCATATAGAAGTCATAGATGGTTGTCCATTGTCTTCAAGAGACATTACTCATGAAATCCTTCCTATATAAATAGCAACTAATGGTCATAGTAGCTTTGTAATATTTAATATTATTAGATCTCTTTCTAATCTAGTCATTTTAAATTTATCATAGTTAAAAAAATATAATCCTAAAATAGATTGGACTTCTTGTAGTCTTGAATTTTCTAAAAGTATGACTAAGAGCGTAGTTAATCAAGTAGAAAGTCATAAGTCTAGTATAATTAAACCTATATTTATAGGTGCAAGAGCTTTCTTGCATGGTGCAAAAGAAGGATCACCTTGTGTCATTTATGCCACACCTATTTCTATTGGTAGAAAGACTTTAAGTGGCATTCCAAGCCAATATTAAGATTTTCAAGATGTATTTGAGAAAAAGATTATGGATACCCTTCCGGAACATCGTTCCTATGACTACTCAATTGACTTTCAAGAAGGAGGACAACCACCATTTGGACCAATCTACAATTTATCTCAAAATGAGTTAGCTGAACTCAAAGAATATATTGAAGAGAATCTGGCTAAGAACTTCATATATCATTCCAAA